TATATATAATATATATAATTCAATTTAAATTCAGTATCCATAAAATCTTACTAGATCACAGTTACACCCATTAGTGTGTATATTATCTGTGTCTGCTCTTACCCTAAAAGGGTAGAGTAGAATAGGTGAGAACAGGTGGTCCCAAAGTATAAAATATTTACTGTTTGGCAAAAATTTGCTGACTTTTCAATCCGTTGCGTCTGGTCAGGAGGGTTGCCTCACGGCCAGGCTTCCAGTTCTGAGTTGTCCCTCTTCCCCTTACACGTTGTGAGGCTTTTGACAAGTGCCTACCCTTGCTGGCCTTGGTTTACCCATCTTTTAAAGTATAACAACAGTAAATACTCATAGGGCTGTTTTAGGGATTAATACATGTGAAGTACTAAGTGTCCGTTAGGAACTGTTTGTGTTGACTTTCAGATTGTGCTTTCCTCTTCTGGCCTTCCCATGTAGAGTCTGGATGCATTTCTCTTGACTGTTTGAAGTCTGCTTTCTTTCTATGAGGGCTAAATCTGTCTGTCCAAAAATCATCTCCTTATGTACTTACTGGGAGCTCTACTATGGCATGGTTATGTTCCCTGCTTCTGTTTTGCCATCCAGCTTGCCTTTCATGATCAAAAATAGCTCCACAATAGTTATCTGTAACTTTATCTTCCAAAACAAAAAGTAATCAACATAGCAAGTCAAAAATCAATGCCTTTTCCAAAACCAGATTTCTGGCTGACCGCCCTTCTAAGCATCTTTGCATTTATTGAGACATCTTTGCTCTTCCTCAATTTTTATAAAGCAACAACACATGCTATATTATTATCCAAGTTTATATCATGAAACTACTGAGTGACAGTAAAAAATGTAGAGTCACTATTCTGAAGGTTTTCAGAGATTCTTACTCTGTAGAGAGAAAAATGTTAACACTGCTAGGCAAGGAATTCTGGGTACAGTAGAATTCCAAAAGCCAAAGGATTTCTATTCAAAAGCCACATAATGAGGCTCTACCATTTTAATAAAAGAAATTCAGATTCAACTAACCATTGAGCAATTGTAAGTACTCTGTGTTTCCAGGATATACACCCTTGCTTCAGCTTTAGAGGCCGAGAGGTGGGTCAGTCTTTAGCTTTAAAGATCTTCCACTGTACTGCTGGTCACTTGGGGCAAATGATTTCATTTTACTGGGGCTGATTTCTATTTTGTAGAATAGGAATGATATTAGCTGCTTGACTGAGCAGTTGGGGAACGCAAATAAGGTAATCCATGGAGATAACTTCGTGTGAGTGAGACACGCCACCCTTTTCTTTCCTTCTTTACATGTCCATCCCGTAAGATATTTGCCAGCAGCTTCCACTTGAGCTCAGTCCTGGGAATCTAAAGGATATTTTTTCTACCTGGTAAAATTCAACATCTTCGCTCAGCAGCATCAAAGCCAGGTTCACTACCCCTCTGCCTCATGTGGACAGAGGAGCTGTGTCTGCGGCCTGTGTAGTGCTGAACTGATGTAGCAATGAGACAAAGCCCTTTCAGAAATGTAGAGCTGGGTAAGGAGAGCTCGGACATTGTTCTTTGCCTCCAGGCATGTTGTTCTTCACTGCTGGCTTTTCAGAACATGTGTAGAAGAATCTCACCCATAAGGCCAAAAGTAGGGCGAGGCAAGTGAGGTGTTTTGGGTGCAGAATGGAAGCTGCACTTGCTCTTAGGGTGGTGTGAGGTCTCAACACTCAACTTTTCCTCCCTATGACACGTGAAAGCTGGGCCTTAGTAAAAAAACAAACCGGACACACTGTACAGAAGATGTAGCAGCTGTCTGTGAAGTGTAAGAGGGAGGATTTAGGAAGGGAAAGGAAAAGCATTACCCTGGTCAATGTCTATTAAACTAAAAAGCATGTTAGGGTTTAATGCTCATTGTTCATGACTCTTGATGGGGACGAGGCCCCGCTAGTCCCCAAAGCAAGAGATACTTCTCAGGATTTGGTTTGGTTTGATTTTACGCACATCCATTCTTGGGCTTCCGAATGTGGGGCGATGCCTTTCATGTTATATTATTCTAGCTTTCCCCTCAGATCATTTCCCCTCTGTGCCTCCAGCGTCCACACATCCAAAAACTGAACTGAGAGCAGGAAGGGCGCCGGAGTGCTGCTGTCCCCGGAGCCCACTGCAGCGGAGACTGAGCGCAGGCCATGTCTGGGGATGCAACCAGGACCCTGAGGAAAGGTGAGGCCTCTCCAGCAGTGCTGGAGGGCTGGGGACATGGGCGGGCACACTGGCTCTGGACCGGGGCTGCCAGACCCTGGTCCATGCATCCTCGGTGCAAGGAGGAACTTGTGCAAAAAGCCATGTGCAAAAGTGACCTCTGTGGGACGTGGGAGGTGGAGCACAGAGCCCCGCTGGGGTGCAGGACGTTGAGTGAGCCCCTCTCCCCATCCCCCTTTGCAGGAAGCTGTCCCCCAGGGCCGGTCCCCGAGGGATTCATCCGCCTCTATAGCATGAGGTTCTGCCCCTACTCACACAGGACTCGTCTGGTCCTCAAGGCCAAAGGCATCAGGTGAGGAGCTGGCGCTGAGCATTCCCTGAGCGAGCCACGCCCCACGGGCGGGGGAATATTAAAGTCTAGGGTACCCTCAGATTTTAGGAGGGGCTCCTTGTCTCTTTCTTCCAAGGCAAAGTCAGTAAGTGGTTGGCGAAAAGAGATTTTTTGTAAGCCTTCCTGAAGTGCACAACCCTTTTAGACACTGCAGAGGAAATGGAGCGACTGCATAAGTGAACCGGATCCGTCCGCTAAGGTCTGCTTAGGAAGGGACAGCCAAGGCCGCCGAGGCCTCCCCGGCTACTCCTGCGCGTGCAGCTCCCCCTGCCTCCCAGGCCGTTTAGGTCAGCCGCGTTCTGTTTCTTCGTCTCCCTGCAGCCGACCTGCCTTTGACCTGCCTTCCCCCCCACCTTTTTTTTTCCCGGACGGGGAATCGAACTCACGACCTTGAGCTTGCCAGGCAGCCGCTGTGCCGCTGAGCTAAATCCCCAGCCCTCACCTGCGTTTCTCCATCCCAACCCTCCGCTTGCTCAGTGCTCCCCGCACTGTCCCTCAGCCACAGAGGTGTGAGCTCTTCAGGGTCGGGATTTATCTCTTCCATGTGGAGCGGAAGAGAGCCTGCAGCATCGTAAGGACTCAGAAGTGTTTGCTGGAGGGAGACACAGATGTTTCCAGACCTGAGCTGGAAGGAACTGCGGCGGGGAGGCGGGGGGAAGGTGGGAAAGTACCGAGAAACGGCTCGCGGCCTCCAGAAGGCACCCCGTGCGAGCGCCCGCAGGTCTGGACTGAGCGCAGAGCGGCGGCGGCGGGCCTGTGCGCTGCAGCCCGACTGGCCTCCAGCCCGAGCGCCGCGAACGTGTGGCCGGGCTCTGGCTTGTTGCGGGCAGCCCCGTTAGGGCGACTGCAGGGTCACCGACTCGTGTCGGAGAACAGAGCTGTGTAGAGGTGTTTACAGTAGAACTCCGGATTTCTCCCACCTTGTTAGGAGAGTATGACTCATATTTCCAGATTATTCCCTCTTGTTCACATCTACTTCACCCTAAGAATACCGGTGTTTTGAGAAAAATAACAGAAAACTCAATCTTTTGCACAGGTGGGAACAAGTTGGCAGTTTAGGAACTGATGTAAATGTTTCATCCGAGCAAGGTCTCTCGCGTTGAGCAGTATTGACATTTTGGGCCAGATCATTCTTTCTCAGGGAGGAGGAGTGGGCTGTCTTCTGCACTGTTGAATATTTAGCAGTGTCCTGCCCTTTACATGTCACTGTAGAGTTCTCCTTCCCCCGTTCTGACAACCCAGAAGGTCTCCAGACACTGCCTCATGTCCCTCGGGCAGCAGGTACTGCCTTTTAGGCTTAGTAAAGTATGTGCTTGTGAGCTTCCTTTAATCTTTTTAGATGTGTGTGTGTGTGTGTGCCTCTGATATCTGCATGGACCTGAAGCTCTAGTGATACTAATTAATCATAAGAGTTTAAATGTTAATGTTAAATGCTAATAGTGTGTTAGGCACTTTATACGTACTGTCTTAGTTACTATTCTCATTACTGAGACAACATACCTCACACTCAAAGTTAAAGAAGGGAAGGTTTGTTTAGTTTGTTTTAGCTCACTGGCTGGCTCCACGGTGGGGTGGCACATGGCAGAGGGGCAACAGATCATGGCAGGCAGAAGACAGCAAAAGCAACAAGAGAGAGACAAGCCTCCTTCTGTCCCTTATATTGTATCCCATCTACCGGGGTCAGGGTGGTGCCGATCCAGTCAGGGCACTGATCCGGCAATCACCCACTGTTGATCCCAGCACTCTTAATCCCAGCGTTTTACTAGGAATCAATCTCACACTCTTGATTCAGCCACCTCCGAGAAAGCTCTGTGACTGCACGAGGCTTTGGGGGGACAGCAGGACGCAAAGCATAGCACGTAGTTGCTTATTTGATCATCATAAGATGCCAGCGGATGGGTGCAATCATTGCCCTTCCTTTATGATTAAGGCCGCTAAGCACAAAAGGGGGACGGAATATGGCCAAGAGCTCAAGCAGGGCTGTCCAGTGATGGCAGGGGGCAGGGGCAGGTCTGAGAGTCTGCCTCCTTGAGGCTTGTTTCCTGTGAAGCAAGCCCACCTCACGAGGAAGCGTGAGGAACGGAGGAGACGAGGCAGAGAACATCTAACGCCCCTTTCCACATCATCGTGAGGGTGCTGCTGTGCATTTCACACAAAACTTAGACTTAAAAATCTGTTGTCATGACAAACTTGAATCCACTCTCTGCTTTCAAGATGAGCCTCTGCCTGCATGCGCTTCTTAAATTTGTTCTGCCTTCCTTCCCCTTTGTTTTGTAAGACACGAGATTATCAACATTAACCTTCGAAGCAAGCCCGACTGGTACTATACAAAACACCCTTTTGGCCAAATTCCTGTCCTGGAGAACAGCCAATCTCAACTGATCTACGAGTCCGTCATCACTTGTGAGTACCTGGACGACACGTACCCGGGAAGGAAGCTGTTTCCAGGTGACACTTATGAACGGGCACGCCAGAAGATGCTATTGGAGCTGTTTTGTAAGGTATGTTCCATTTTAAAGACCCACGTAGTCTCGATTTTACTGTGTGTGCTTCTCCCAAGCTTCAGCGCGTTGCCAAGGCAAGCCTGTGGTGCAGCTGTCTCATTTTCATGCCGTGAGAGCCTGAGGAGGAAGTAGGGTAGGGGCTGACCTACCCTACTTCAGGAAGGTCTAAGGCGAAACTGACTGCTACGTGCTTTTCCATCCCACTTAGCAGACCTAGCAGGTGTCATTAGGACACGATAATGAGTGTGTGATTTGAGATAGCACTAACTCCGTGATATTAACGGCAAACACATACTGAATACTTAGGGTGTGCCAGATGCCACCCTACTTTATAGAGGCTCTCTTGTTTCATCCCACACCAGCCCCTGGAGGTGGGGACTGTTCCTGACCCCATTTTCCAGATGCAAACACTGAGGCTTAACAAAGTTCTGGGTCCTGCCTAGCAACGCACAACATGGGAGCAGCAACCCTGGTGAACCTGTTAACCTACCTGGTTACCAGGATGCTGTCAGGAGTGGGTTCCTGGATCCACCGGGGTAACCTGGTGCCCTTCACAGGGCGTGGGGCATCCGCGCTGGAGGCTGGCCCATGATGTTGGAGTTAGAAAGCCTCTCTGCAGTTCTAGGGCAGGCGGGAGCACGGAGTTCCCATAGACCTCTCCACTAAGAACCTGTGTCCCGTGGTCAGGTCCCGACTTTGACCAAGGAGTGTCTGGTGGCGCTGAGATGCGGGAGAGAAAGTGCTGATCTGAAGGCCGCGCTGTGGCAGGAGTTCAGCAACCTCGAAGAGGTACCTTGGGCCCCTCTCCCATCCCGCGGAGCAGAGGAGCTGTGCAGGCCTCACCCGGGGCCTGGGCACCTGCTGCCCCGCAGGCCCCTCCTCTCTGCTGGGTTCCGAGCAGCCCCGCTCCCGGTCCTCTGCGGCTGTTAGCAGGTGCTTGTTCTCCACTGCTGTGGAGCCGATCTTGAGGGCCTGGTGAGGTAGCGCGGAGGACCGGCAGCAAATCCCTCCTTTCTTGACATCATCTGTTCCCTTAGGGGGTCTGGCTGCATCTGCGGCTTCTGCCCACGAGGCCAGCGTATTGGTTAGCAATGGCGCTTGGCTGGCGGTGGGCACTCCCTGCCGTACGTTTACCTCCCGGGGGTGAATCCTCTTACACTAGAAAGCTCGGGGTGGGTGGTGCGTGACGGCTTCCTCACGGAGTTACCAGGGACTGAGATTCTCTTTCTTGTTAGGTTTGGTCCTTGTTAGTGTAAGGTTTCCGTTCTCAAAATGATGAGATAACTACTGGAACTGTGGCCATTGCATCCCAGTTTCAGGCCAAGATTTCTTTTCTTGTTTGTTTTTGGTTTTTGTTTCTCTGTTTTAGGGGGCTTGGGATTTTTCTTTTTTTTTTTGTTTTTGTTTTTGTTTTGTGGAGACAGGGTCTCACTGTGTAGTGTAGACCGGTCTGGAACTCACTATATAGCCCAGGCTGGCCTCAGACTTGCAACGATCCTCCTGCCTCAGCCTCCCTAGCATTGGGACTACAGGCATGTGCCTCCACGCCCAGCCTAAAGCCAAGGTTTCAATGTGCAATCTGCCACGTTCTCTCAAAGTAAAAGCCTCAGTTTATGTTTTGTAATCTTAAACTCGGACTTTTTTTCTCTTGAGATGTAAGTGCCCTGTCTGACTTTAAAATTTCTTTTTTAAAGTCTAGTTCCAGGGGGCTGGGGATTTAGCTCAGTGGCAAAGCACCTGCCTGGCAAGTGCAAGGTCATGAGTTCGGTTCCCGGTACCTGAGAAAAACAAAAACAAAAAAAAAAAGTCTAGTTCCAGCTGGGCAAGGTGGTGCACATCTGTGACCTTAGCACCCTGGGAGGGTGAGGAAGGCAAAGAGGATTGCAGGCTGGAGCCCAGCCTGGGCAACGTAGTGACTTGGGGAGACCCATCTCAAAAATAAAAAACATATAATAAAATCTATATAATGTATGTAAATGCATAATGTAATTATAAATGTATAATAAAATGTGTATAATACAATAAAACATACATAAAATGTATAATAGAAAATGTATTTAAAAAATTAGAACAGCTCAGTTCAAAGACCCCGGAGTTCGGTCCCAGTACCGCGAAAAAAGCGGGGGGCGGTTTCATTAAAGTGGAAGATTTCTTGTTGTATAGCCGTGTTTGTCTGTGACAGTTTGTACACTTTTTGAGATATACTGCTGTTGCCTCTGCAGCCTGCCCCTTGCTTCCTGTTCTGAACCCTGGCATGGCGCCACACGGTAAAGCTGTCTTCAGATAGATTTTCTAGCTTTCTTGAGTTGTTAATCTCAAACAGCACACATTTTTAGCTTTCTTCTTTTTTTTTAGGCCATTCTTGCCTTTTCTGTTTCAAAATAGCACCCGATCCAGGGTTCATTTCATGTCTGTGGGTCTCAGTGCGGCAGGACCTTTTCGGGGCTCTTCTCTCACCAGTGACTTCCTTCAGAATGTTTTCACTGTGGCCGTGGTCAAATCAAGTCCAGCGCCATGAAAGCCAGGGTCAGCCAGAGCTCTTAGGAGCTTTGGATTTCCTGTATCTCAGGGCTGCTGTGCTGTGCGGTGGTTCCGCATTCTGGCCGTTGCTTGGTCCCGTCCCAGGCCTCATCAGACCTGAGGAGAGGGAGGAGAAGGCGACGTAAGTGCTGGCCCTGAGGGGTGGGAACCGTCTCTCACGGCACAGGGCCCTTTGTGCTTTTCTTCTCACAGTTCACAGACCTGCTTTGGACACTTCCGTCGTTTCGGCGCTGGTTCCCACATCGCCTAATTCCATCCCCTGCTTCTGCGCGGCGGGTTGCAGGAGGTCACATCTGCATAAGTTGTGTGTGCGGCACTCGGGGGCAGCTATACTTAAATACTATCTTGATTTTAAATCTCACCCGTATTCTTAATGTTTACCGTGTTTCGTTTTTGTGAGGTATGGTTTCACTGGTTGTGCAGGCTAGCTTTGAACTCACGGGCTCAAATAGATCATTATTATAGATTAAGTCAATCATAATCTTTTTATATCCCTTCTTCTCTGTAAAAAAGATATTTTTAGTCTGTTAGCTGTATTGTCCTGGTTAAGTCTTACTGTTGTTGTTTTAAAATTTGTATTAATCTCAGTGATATATATTGTTTACAAGATAGAAGGAAAGAGAGTTTATACCTGGCTAATTCTTCACTGGAAATAACCTTTTCTTTTATATACCATAAACTGTCTACAAGTTAAATTTATTTTCTTTCAACTGAGTTGCAATGTCTACAAAATACCTTGATTGTTACTGCTGGTTTTTTTTGATAACAGCTTCATGGAGACATAATTCATGTATCATGACATTCACACTTTTCAAGTGCAGGGTTCAGTGGTTTTAATATGTGCGTGGAGTTGTAACCACTGCCACCCACGGCCACTATTTAATTTCAGAATACTTCTGTCATATCCCAGAGAGACTCCTTTTTAATAGTTAACTCTCATTTCTTAGACCTCTGCTGTCTGTCTGTACCGATGCATTTATTTGAGGCAGTTCCTATAGGTGGAATCAGACCATATGTGGTCTTTCAGGAGCTTCTTTCATTTAACATAATGTATTTAAGGTTCATATTTTATCCCTTTTTATGGCTAAATAATATTCCACCATGTGGCTACACCACATTTTGTTTATTCATTCATCAGTTCCTAGGCACTTGGATTATTTCCTCTTTGGGACATTATGAGTAATGCTGCTGTGACAGTGTGTTCAGGTTTTTGTGCAGCCATATGTTGTCTGTTCTTTTGGATTTCCTAGCTAATTCCTAGCCATGGAGTGGCACCTGAGTCATAACTGCTGTTCCTTCTCATGAGGGCAATGGTTATCCCTGACCAGGACGTCTGCAGGAGCATTTTAGCGCCGTTGCTAGTTTGGTAATTTAACCAACCTTGTCCCCTTCTTCCCTCCCTCCCCTCTCTCTTCCTCTCCCCCCTCTTCCACCCTCCCTCCTTTCCTCTCTCCCTCCCTATCCCCCCACCACTGAGATTGAACACAGAGCCTTTGCTCTGAGCTTACATCCCCAGCAGAATTTTATTTATTTATTTATTTATTTAGAGACAGGTTCTTGCTAAATTGCTGAATTTCCCGGGCTGGACTTGAACTTGCAGTGCTCCAGCTTCAGTTTCCCAGCATGCTGGGATTACAGCTAGGGCACCCAGATGGAAAAAAAAAAAATCACTTTTAATGTCTGCTTAATTTGCTACGCGTATAACCGCGAAGTGGCTCCTCCAGCACCCTCCTTATGGGTGCTTAGGTTGATTCTAGTCCTTTGCCAGTGTGACTGATGCCGCAGGGGGCAGCACTCTTCTTGGTTTAAAAACCACTTCTATTCTACAGTATGACTGGAGCCCAGACTCCTAGGAATGGAATTACCAGTTCAAAGGGTTGGAACGCTTTGGAGGTTGTGGCTGTGTTTTACTAAATTGCTTCCCAAAATGCTTATCACGTTTTTACCCCTCCCAGCGGTACATGAAAATGTCCTTTGCACTATCACCTTTTGATAGTCCATTCAAAAAGATACTTGTTTGTTGGAGAGAAATAAGCAATAGACAGTAGTTCCTCATTGTTGATTTAATTTTTTTTTGGCTGCACCGGAGGCTCAAGTCCAGGGCTGCACACATGCGAGGCAAATGCTCAGGCACTGAGCTGCATCCCCAGGCCTGTTTCTTTGGTTGCTACTGATTCCCCAGGGCCCCGTGTCATCTGCGCCTGGCCTGTTGCTGGTCCGCCTCCCAAGGTCCTCTTGATTTTCCCTGACGATTTGTAAACGTTCCTTTTAAAGAGTTCTTTGTGCATAAAATCTACTTGACAATTTTGATTTCTTTTGTTTTAAAGTTTTTCCTCTGCTTTAAATTTTAATGTGGCTCACCTCTCCCGTATAAAGTGTGACTTTTACAATATCATGCTGTCCCCCTTCCCTGGGGTGCTTCCTTCCCTTGCTTTTATGGTAAGAAGTCCTCTCCCCCTGCGGACACGAGTCAGTATTCATTACAGCCCCACCCACCCTCCGTCACCTACAGATCATTGACAGGTTACGCATTACCCACCCTCCTACAAATACGTTTTGGACAGAACAACTAAACCCATGAAAGGTGTGCCAACGTGGCATCTCCAGAGTGTCCCTTTAATCCCCAAGTGCTGACAGGCTGTCTTCTGCCTCTTTGTAGCCACCCTGTGGGGCGATGCGTTTCAGCCTACCCTGCTGCCACACCCTCTAGGAGACAGTGTCCTGTCCTGCAGGGCCCCTGTTCCCCTCCTGCTCGGCTTCAGCTCAGTATAGCAGCGACCTGAAATGTGAAGGCCTGAGAGCCTCTACTTTTTCTTTAGGAACACAAAGCTCCCTCCCTGGAGCTGCTACTTTGCAGCGGCTTCCGGAGAAGGACTTCAGTGTCACCGCTCCTCCACCCTCGGCTTCGTGTCCTGTGGGTGGGATGGGGGGGTCTCCTTAAGAATTATTTCCAGGGAGAAAATGCTGTGCTCCTGCTCCAGCAGGCACAGGGGCGCTGCTGGGAGCCCCTTGCTTGGAAGGATGTGAGGTCCTGATGTCAAAGCCCTGGTAAACACAGTGGCGAAGGCAGGCGACTGCTTCGAGGTTTGAAGCCCAAGTATTAAGGCTGAACCCCAGAGTCCGAGGTCCCAGGTTGGACTTTTGTTTTAGAATGCCTGGTTTAAGAAGTCTGTCTGTGGTGTTCTTTCTCTCTCAAGAGCTTGATAGATTTATTTTTCCTCCTCTGAATCCTCTGGAAGGAGCCGCCTCCACCACTCACGGCCACCAGGGGGCGCCCTGCGAGCTTCTTCCCTCAGTGCGCGTTTGCGCCAACTTCAAAGCCCGACTTTCTCCTTTGGCGTCTCTGGGCGGGTCAGAGAGGCCTGGCAGGCAGCAGGGGCTTTCCAGCCGGGCTTTGCAGGTCTGAAACGAGGGGGACTGGTGGCCTTCATCCTATCAAACGATTTCTCCTCCTTTATTGGCGGTGCTCCCTAGTTAACCCTCATCTGGCCTTATTTTTCAGCGACATAGAGAACAGAACATTTAAAAATAGACTGTTCTAATATCCCAGGACATCAAACGCGTCTTCACAGAATCCCTCCCCCAGTGCCTGGCGTTTGAAATGGAAAACAGTTTTGCCCAGTTGCCCAGTGTGCACAGAAGGGAGCTGGCCTTGAAGCCTGCTGCGGCCCGAGGGAGGCCTGGACAGGGGGCCCCTGCCGTCTGGGACTCGGAGAAAGACCGCCTGGGGCAGGCTCTGGACTCCGCAGCAGTGTCAAGAACTCCAGGTGTTTTATGTGGGGGTCCCGGGTCGCCCAGGGCTCTGAGAGGGCCAGGGATGTGCGGGTGCTTTCGTGCCATCCCCGTACCGTGCTGACCCGTCACAGGCTGGGGGCCTCCAGGAGGTGCGCCTTGCCGGAGTCCTCTGTGGGTGTGATTGCGGAAGGTCGACAGTTTCTGTAACATCACGTACATTTAAAGCCAGGCACCTGCTTTGAATAAAGGCTTTAGAAATGTATGTAAACAAGCTTCAGCTCTAAGCAGTTACTCATTTGTAAAATTTTCTTGTCACTGCACTGACGGATCCACCGTGGGGTCCCTTAAGTTCTGCATCCGATTGGCCTGGACAGGGACTTTCTACCTTTGTCTCTTTTTCTCTCTCTCTCTCTTTCTTTCTTTCTTCCTTTTCTTGGCAAGGTTTATTCAAGAAAGCAAAACTGAAGAGTAGAGTGAACTAGCCGTGAGTAAAGAGAAAAAGAGGGCAGAACAAAGGTGAAAGCGCACGTGGCACCCGGAAGCGCAGCCTGGGCCGTCGCGGGAAGCTGCGGTAGCCTGGACCAGGGCTTTTCCAAGAACGCCCGTGCTCTGGAATGCACACGAGTTGCACAGACGTTCCAGAGCCACGGGTTCACTTTGGTGCCAGCATGCTAACCGCCGCTTGTGTGTGAGAGCGCGTGTGCGCACCATGGGGGATGGACCCTAGGCTTCCCACGTGCCAGGCAAGCACTGTACCACTGAGCTCCGCCCACCCCTCTGTCCTAGTTACTTTCTTGTCACGGAGGCACAGTCCCCGACACCCCTGACTCTAAGAAGGAGAGGGTTACTTGGGTGCACATTTGTAAGGATTTCAGTCCGAGTCAGCTGGCTCCGAGGCGGGGTGGCAAGGCAGAGGGGCACAGGAGGCTGCGCAGGGCAGGGCCGGCCGGCGAGAGACGAAGGGAGGAGGAGGGAGACACACCCCTCCGGGCTGCACCGCAGTGACGCACGCCTCCGACCGCGCTGCACCCCCAGTGTCACGTTTAGCTGCACTCGCCCGTGGATGGGTCCACCCTTAGAGGACTGTCCTCACAACTCGGTCACTCGCCTGTGGATGGGTCCACTGCTAGAGGACTGTCCTCACAACTCGGTCACCTCCCAAACGCCCCCCTGTGCATGCCGGGGCTCTGGGGGCGCAGCTGGATGTAAACAGTGACGCTCCCTTAGCTTCCTTAAACCAGGTGATGCTGCCTCACGTGTTCAGCTCACCGGACAGCCAGTGAGGGGCCTCTGTACACGCTGGGAAGGAGGAGGCAGTGAAGCTCGCTTTACCGGCAGAGGTGGCGGGGGGAGGCGCTCACGGATCTCTCGTCGGGGTGGATGCCGCCTTCGGGGGTCTCCGCCCTTACTCATCCTGTGATCCTACACTCGCTGGGGCCGGGCGGCCTGTTTCTCCTCGCGCTCTTGTCCATAATCTCGGAGGCAGGCGCGAACATTACAGCATTAGCAGGTGAGAAGGAGGGAGGCAGGCGGCCTGGGCCTCCTCAGAGCCAGGGCCCAGCCGGGAGGCAGCGCTGCCACCGCACGCTCGCCCTTCGCTGCAGGGCAAGACCACGGCCCGCGGGGCACGGGCGCTCTGGAGTGCATCCTCCGCCTCTGCCGTTCCCACCCAGGGGCCCACTTCACAGCCTGACTCTGAGTGACCTCTGCCCCTCGCTGGAGCCCCGGCACCTGCAACGGAATCACCAGCATAGCGCAGCTCCATAGCTCACCTGCGCGGGCATCACATCTCAGCAAGGGGCAGGCGCCTCGCTGGCTGTGAGTTACATGGGCCAGAGTGAGTAGTTCACTTGATTCACTAGGAAACTGGCACCATCCGTGCCTTTTTGGGAGGCCTGGCCCAACAGTAACCTCTGCCAAGCATTTTAGCTTTCTAAAAAATGTTCAGGTCCTTTCTTTTGGCGGTCTTTCGCTGGCTACCTGCTAAGACTCTTATCTGTTTTCTTTTTGGTCCATCTGTCCGGGTTGGTTTGCCAATAGGGAAAGAGAAATTGTATTTTAATGTAAAAAGTTGATAATGTTGAGTGGGCATCATGTACTTTAATGTAGAAAGTTGATAGTGTTGAGTGGGCACCAAGTGAAGCTCAGAGAACTCAGAAGAAGAAAGCATGCCAGGAAGACAGTGCTGAGGTTCAGGCAGCTCATCACAGTACAGCCCTGCTGTGGAGACTGCGGCGTCTCCTTTATCCTGGACAAAGCATATGCTGGGCAGTGGAGGCCACAGCTCCAGCAACAGGGGCTCCCAACACCGGCCTTCAGCATCAGCCAGCAAGCGGGCAGTGCTCTCCTGAGGCAGGGACTCCTGCTCCATCCACGCTGACCCACGGGCCACCTTACACTTGCAGGAGCCAGGCCAAGGGAGGCACTGGGCCAGGTCTGCCGGAGTGGTCCTGCCGACTGTCCAGGGGGCTGTTGGAGGCAGGCCAAGGGGAGGGAGAGACAGGAAGTGTGTGTGTGGGGAGTGTGGCCCTTAAGAAGGTGGAGGAGACTTCAGCGAAAGGGAAGGGGCAGTCTGCTAAAAACAGGAAAGACCAAAGCCTGCGTTCTCCCTCTTTGGGGATTAGTCTAGTATTTGTATTTAGTGTCTCTAACCATGTCTGCAGGTACGTTCATTAAGTTGCTTTCCTTGTGTTCGCATTTCTAGATTCTTGTATATCAGAACACCACCTTCTTCGGTGGAGACCGCATAACCATGATCGATTACCTCTTCTGGCCCTGGTTTGAGCGGCTGGATGTGTATGGGATCGCTGAGTAAGTGGTTGGAAATACACCCAGGGACAGTGGTTAAAATGGTCCCTGTGTGTGTGTGTGTGTGTGTGAGCGCCCCCTGTGGACATGTTTCAGGATGTGTGTGAAACAGACAGGTCTTTAAGCCACCAGTACACAGCTTCTGGTTCAAAACGCCCTGGGCTCTTCTCCCACGGACCCCAGAATCGCATGGTACCTGCATCTACGAGGACAAGACCTGTATACAAGCCTCCTGGAACCTCAGAGCCAGGGTCCTCCCCAGCCTCCCTGCATGCAGGCAGGGTTACAACCTCCATGTGTGGCACCTTGCCCGCAGCTCTCCCCTGCCCTATACCTGGTCCTCCTGCGCCACTCAGCAGACACGATACTCCTGAGTCCAGCTTACCTGAGGCATCCTCTCCCAGACACCCTTTAAAAAAAGATTTTAAAAGTAATATATCTTGATGTTCAAATGTACAGTCAAAATGGCAGCCACATATTACAGAAGGACCAGGATGGTTAAAGCAGATGAAATGGCCATGTGGAGTCCTGGGCAGATATCTTAGTTGCTTCTCTCATGGTTGGGACAAAACACTTAACACCCACACATTGAAGGAGGAAAGGTCTGTTTTGGCTCCCAGTTGTGAAGGGGTTTCAGTGCATAACTGGCTGGTTCCCAGGCAAGGTGGCATGGCAGAGGAGAAGCAGTCCATGGCAGGGCAGGCAGGAAGCAGAAGGAGGAGGGATCAAGGGAGCGGGGAGCTAGAACTTTCCAGGCTACACCCATGGTGAGCCACCTGCTTCCCCTCTGTAACATCACATTCAGCTATGAACTCATGAGTAAACTAATCTGGCAGTGAGTATCACAGCCCCATGATCCGACCACGTCCCCAAAGCCCCACCTATGAGTGCATGGGGCTTTAGGGGACATGGAGATAGAGACCCTATCAGCAGGACAGGAGCTTTGTTACCTCACAGCTTAGAGGAGATGCTGGATGTGTGCTGAGCCTGCTCTAACCCTAGCTGGCCACATGGGGTGGGTGCCAGCCACTCCTGGTATTTGGAAGTTGGGCCTGAAGATCAGATAAAATATACTTGGATATTTAACTCTATCTCAAATATGAAACCTGTCTCCTCCAAAGTCACAGCTCCGAACCACAGGTCAGGAGGTCCCAGCACCGTGGGGCTGGGTCGTACGGCATTGCTTCGCAGGCTGCTTTGCAGGCCCTGGACTTGAGTTCCTTCTGAAACAGCCCCATCAGCGCCATTATTTCAAGGTTTCATGATTTCTGCCCATTGAAAACATATTCTGAAACTACTTGTCTTTATCTTTTTCAATCCCCTGAAGTAAAGCCTGTGGATGACCCTTTGCAAGAGGGTTGTCCTTTGTGGGAGAGCAGTGGAGCACAGGTGTCGCATTTCCCCGGAGCCTCAGCCCACAAGTCTTCCCCCGCACTGTTAGGAGCGCAGATCCCACAGTTCCAGACATACAGTGGTTCCCGTCCCGTGAGTGACCGTGCTCGCTTGGTAATAAGAAGGCCGAGACCACAGTCTCCCCAAAGACGCCCTCAGTTCTTGCCCATGCTCAGTTTCTGAACGGCAGGGCCTGGCCCCTTCCCCGGCGCTTTCCCTGTGGGTGGCGCTGACCCCTGCCCCCTCTTGTCTTGCAGCTGTGTGGACCACACCCCGAAGCTGCGCTTCTGGATAGCATCCATGAAGCGGGACCCCACCGTCTGTGCTCTGCTCATAGATAAGCAAATATTCCTGGGCTTCTTGAACCTCTACTTCCAGAACAACCCCAATGCCTTTGACTTTGGGCTGATCTCCTGAGTCTCGCGGGCGCTACTTGACTGTCCAGGATTCCTGGCATGTTATGAGTCTCTCTGCTTCAGGGACTGTCTTGGGGTCAGTTCATCTCTGTTTTTTTTTTGAGATTCTTAATAAAATAACAGAAAATGGGTTGTTTCTGATAGTCATTTATTTGTCAGGCTCCTCTAGCCCAGTTGTGTCTCTGCTCAGGTCCGAGCATGTTTGGGGAGCCTGTGGCCCTCGGCCCACTGCGACCTCCAGGGTACTGGTGACGGTGCTGGTGCTAGGGCTCACATTCTGCCAGCGTGTGCGTTCGCCACTCCAGACTGGCACCTCCAAAACCTTCCCGGGGAGAGGGGAGCTTGCGGAGAAGAAGGAGGAAGAAAAGCTCCGCAAGCCCTGCGGGCCGGTGCTTGCTGCTGTCCGCGGGGGCGGCAGGGGTGTCATTCCCATTCCGACTTTGGCCGTGGGCCTGGGAGACACCAAGGGTCTTGTGACTGGACAGAATTCTAAAGCAGGAAATGAAACACCCGGTTATCGCCCTGGACTGACTACGTCAGAATTTCACCGTCAGTGTCGGGGCTCAGGATATCTCACAAAATGTTCTTCACCCGCATCCCGCCCTTAAAACACACACGTACCCCATCAGGCAGAGGTCACGCTGTGGGATCTGCAGCACAGACCGTTCGGTTCTCCCCGTGGAAGCCTGCTGGGTTCTGAAGCCGGGCCGTGGTGGGCCAAAGCGGTGAAGGCCCAGCCCTTCCCGCGGGGGTCCCTCAGCCTTGCATCCGCTCGTGGAGATTTTAGATCCCCTGCTCTGGAGCTGCCTGTCTTGTGGCAGTGCCCGGCCTGGCTCTGATATGGCCGCTCTGCGGGCTTGACCAGGTAGTATTGGGCCCTGACGACAGCAGAGAAGAGGAGAGGCGAGGCTGGCCAGCGTGCTGGCAGCTTCCCGCGCCTGGGCTGGAGGAGGGGGCTGAGTCTGCTGCTGTTCGCTCAGTATCTGGGGATCGGCGTCTGACAGCTGTGACTTTGCTCACACTGAGCTTTTTCCCAGCCTCAGCCTTGTGGACAGCAGGCAGCAGCGTAGTGTTTAGTCGTGGCCCTGCGCACATGGGGCAGCCTCCCGCTCCTGTCCCAGGCACAGCTCACCCCAACCCTCTTCTCCCCACGTCTCGGCCAGGCCCTCGCGGCCTGCCGGCTCTTCGGTGTTCGTCCCACGGAAGTGGTACCAGGCGTTCCTACCTGCCAGCTGGACAGAAACGGGCCTGCTGGGCGCGGACGCTCGGCCTGCCTGCGAGGAGAGGCACTGTGCCGCGCATGCAGCGCCCTCTGCTCTGATGTGGCATCTTGTTGCCAGGGCACCTGAGCGAGTGCCGAGGGCTGCGTGTGAGTCATGGTTTCCCTGGGACCCGTGTCGGGGAAGAGGCGTCATCTGGGGCGGCTGTCCGAGGACTCGGGACCAGCCCAACGTTACAGGCGTAAAAGCGTGTGCGCGGAAGTGGTTGGTGCGGGACCCAAACTGCTGTCGATGCAACAGAGAAGGGCGCGTCTCAGGGTCACCAGAGTGAAGTAGTCTCCGCTGGGGCTCCGCACGTTTATTTAGAAATAAGTACGGAGGCGGGTGGAGCGTGGAGAAACGTGCTCAGGGGAAAGGATGTCGGCTGGTGGTCCACGGCCCCGTCTGGGGTCTAAACGCCACTTGGGCAGGGGTGGGCTCTGCAGGTCGCCAGGGTCCTGGTCACTTGCACTGCAAAGACTTCTTCACTTTTTTTACTTTTTTTTTTTTTGTTGTTATTGAATCCAGGGCTTTGCACTGAGCTACATTTCAAGCCGATTTTTATTTTTAGACAGTCTCACTAAGTCACTACATTGCCCAGGGTGGCTTGAATTTATTTATTTATTTATTGTTTTGTCTTTTTGAGACAGGGTCTTGCTATGCAGTTCAGGCTGGACTTGAGCTCACTTTGTAGCCCAGGCTGGCCTCGAACTTGCAACGATCCTCCTGCCTCAGCCTCCCACAGTGGTGGGATTACAGACAAGCGCCAGCATGCCTGACTCTCCTACTTCTTGATGCTGCCTGCCTGACCCACAGAGGAAACTGAGTCACTGACTTCTACAGGAAAGCAGAACTTAGCCTACAGGAAAGAGGGAGACGCAAGGAATGCTCAGCGAGGAGCTTTCATGGGAGGCTGTGGTGGAATAATAGCTACAGGTTAAAAAACACAGGAATATAAAAATAGGAAATCTACTCTGATCCATGTCCCGGAGATAACGACTTTACTGGGTGTCTACCTTGTGAGAAGCATTTTAAACCGCAGGACAGGGAAGAGCAGCTTCTCCTGCAGCCTGGAAAAGGAGAAAATGAGCTGAAACCACAGCACTGCAAAGACCTCATCGTCATCGACCACGTCAGCACCGGAGGCGGCCCAGCCCGCCCGAGCCCAGCTCCGTCTGGACAGGGGGAGGTGGGAGGGGTCTGTGGCGGGACAGCTCCTGGAGGTGGCAGCGGACGGTGACTAACTGTTCCTCAAGTTCCTTCTGGCTCTCAAGTTCTCTGACCTCAGACAGCAGAGGCGGCTGTGAGTGTTACGGGGACTTGATGTCAATTCTGAGTCACAGGCTGGAGCGCTCACAGGCTAGCACTCCCGGGATGACCTGCCTGTGGCAGGCTCGCGGGACGGTCTCTCCCTTGATCTCTCACTTTCAGCCCCCCACTGCGCTGTCCGTCCACCGTGAGTTTTCTGTCAGAGCCACAGGCTTCTTGATGGAGGGGACCGGGCTGCTCTGTGGTGAGAACCAAACTCCACTCCCCTGATGTTTACACTCGCCTGCTCTGGTTTATTATTGGAATTATTATTATTTTCTACTGGGGACTGACCCCAGGGCCGTTGTGCTGAGGTATGTCCCCAGCCATTTCGTTGTTGTTGGCTTTTGCTTTTGTGAGACAGGATCTCGCTAAGCCATTAAGTTGCCCAGGCTGGGCTCCGACTTGCGAACTTCCTGCCTCCCCTCCGAAGAGTGTGGGATTGCAGGTGTGCACCGTCACACCCGGCTAATGTACTCTCTCCCAACCTGGTGAAGCAAGCCCTAATTACTCCCATTTTAACGGTGACAAACTGAGGCTTCAGGGTGACGTAATGTTGTGGCAAAACTGGGTCCGGGAAAGAACAACACCTGGGGAAGTCTGGAGGCGGAGGAGAGCTTTATTTCACACTGGCCCTGGCGGGGACGTCTCCCTCAACACAGCCAGGTGCTTGTGAGCTACCGCTTTTACGTGATGCCTAAGCAGGAGGTGCAAAGGTGAGGCAGGACAGCCTGGCCTGGATTAGCCAGCAGGGTGAGACCATCGGTTACAGGGCTAGAGTGAGGAGCATGGAGCTTGTTGCAGTCGGACGTCCTGCGGGTCGGCTACACTCTTGTGGTTACAGGGATCAAGAGTCATGATGGAGCCATGAAGCAGTGTCAGAGCTGGGCAGCTCAAAAAGAACAAAGGTTTGAAAAGAACAGTTATTCTTGTACAGTTTTCCCCCTTCAGTAACTCGCACAGATGTCTTGGGCGGTAATGCACAGAGCTGGGGTCTGGGCAGTAGACTCCAGGGCCTGCACGTGCCCCAGACCCCTGCACTCCTCCACCTCCCGGGCCAGCAGCGCCTCACCGCTGCTTGCTGACCTCCCTCCTCTGCTCCCCCTGGACCCGGAGCCCTGTCTGGCCGGATCGTGTCCCCTTGACTAGGTTTCCCTAGCGTGGGATGTGGGATGTGTAGCAGGGACGGCCACCGACGAGCGCTTTGTGAGTGAGTGAGTGCAGGAACACAGGCTGGGCTGAAGGCATGCATGTGCCCAGGCCCCGTCCAGCTGTCACCGCTGCGTCCCCTTTGCTGCCTGAGAGGAACCTGCCTGTCCATCACAGGAGTAGCGCCCTGCTAGGAGTGCAGAAATGACGAGACCTGCCAGGCTAGGCGGTAGCACTGGTGGGATTTGAACGCAGCCCAAGCGCGGCCTTCTGGGAGACGTCTGGGTACCCAGTGGGCAGGTCTTGTGGTAGGGGGCCACGGGGGGCAGTGGGGGTGGGCTGCTCTTCCTCCATTCTCTCTGGGTCACTCAGTGCTCAGGGGGGCAGCCTTGCCGCTTGGCCTCGTGGGTGCACCTTCTGGATTGAGGGAGTTTGTGGGGCAGCCCTGCAGGGCCAGATTCTAAAACCCCACGGGAACAGAGCTGCAGGTGCTAAGGGGCTGCCCTGAGTCCCCGGGACTCGGGGATCTGCTGTCGTTAGGCTTGGCCAGCTCCAGGGCTGGGGTATACAGGGCATGTGTCCCTGTCACCATCCCTGGCTGGGAGATCCTGGGGACCCCAGGGGGCTGGGTTAGCAGCAGCCCTGTGAGGGCCACTGCAGTCCTTGGGGTCCAACCCCACCCCGGAACCCTGGCTCTCAGCTCCCAGGAGGGGGTGAGCCACGAGGCTGTGGGGGCTGGTTAAGAACGCAGCCAAGGGTGACCCGGGAGGGAGGAAACAGGAAGTAGGTCTTTGCTTTCTATTTCTATTTCAAATAAAGTTGCCTGAGAGAAACCAAAAATATCACTGACCACTGGCTTTAAAGAAACAGATGGAACCAGACTCCTCCCACCTCCCCACCCCTGTGCTGCAAATTTCACTGGGTCCTTTTAAAACCCACCTCTTCCAGTGGAGAAAAGAAGAAACACCTCTGAACATCTCCGAGGTTTAGGTAGCTCCTCTTGCCTGGAGATACTCTATCGTTGGCAGTTTTCATTTTCTGCTTTCCTTGTGGGGCTGCGGAGGAACATCAGAGGGACGGCAGGCGTTAGACCTCGGGGCCTTACGGCTGGGAGGAAGTACACCTGCCCTGGGCTCAGAGGAGCGCGGGGCAAGCAGCTGGGAGGCAGAACAGTCGAGGGACGGGGGACCTGGAGGGGAGGTGTTTCACAGTTCCACGGGTCTAAGGGAGAAAGCGGGCCCCAGCACGCGCTGAAGCGCGCGGCGCTGTTCTCACGATCCCCTCACGCGGGCCCCAGCTGTGCGCGGTCCTTCTCAGTTGCCGCATTTCATGGGTCTCTGCCTCTTCTGCCCACGCTGGTCTTGTCTGCCTGACAGAACCAGTTCCTGGGGGCCAGAGCCTTTGCCTTACACATGCATTCTCCACAGGGTGCCTGACCCAAAGAGAGGGATGGGGCAGTGCTGGGCACACGGGTTGCTCAGTACTCAGCTGAACACCTTTTCCTTACTCCTGAGTCCTGACTGAATAAAGCCTTGGCCGTGGGTGACCCGTTCTGGGGGGAAGATGTGCGTGGCTAGGTGCGCAGTGCAGTGACCCACCAGAGAGCAAGGGCTGCTTCAAAGCAGACCTCCACTGCAGGCTGCTTATGAGAGCATGGTGGGGGTGACTAGAAAGTCCTCAGCAGGGCAGGCTGGATAAACCATGTGCAGACGTCGGTGAGGCAGTGAGCAGCTACTGTAAAGAGTAAGGTAGAGGAGCCAGAGGTTCAGAATGACGTCAGAGGAAAGTTAGGCGGTGTCATGCCTTTATGTAAAAACAGAACAGTGGCAGGTACACAGAACAATCTGGAAGGATAACAGGGAACCTGAGTCCCTTTCTAGGAAGCAGATGCAGAACTCAGCATTGGAGCTTTTATCTCACTTGACTTCTATCAGTGGTTCAATTTTTTTTTCATCATGATTGTTGTTTTTATTTTTTAAAACAACAAACTAGACAAAAGAACTTTTTTTTTTTGGTCTTTTTGAGACAGGGTCTCGCGCTACAGTTCAGGCTGGCCTGGAGCTCACTTTGTAGCCCAGGCTGGTCTCACTGGCAGCAATCCTCCTGCCTCAGCCTCCCAAGTGCTGGGATTACAGGCCTGTGCCACCACTTAGCTTTAGACGGTGGTGAGAGAAGTTAACCTACACGATGCCCTGCCTTGGGGTGGAGGAGCAGCAGGGGTGAGGAGGGAAGGGCTCCGACGGGGGACTCGGCTCCCTGCATGGGGTCCCTGGCCAGCCAAAGCAAACAGCCTCCCAGTGCTGTCCCAGAGGGTAGGCACTAGGCGGGCAGGAGAATGTTCTGAGCCACAGGTCACAGCCCTGGAGACACTGAAGCTAGGATTTCCCGGATGTCCCCCGACTCCTTCAGCACCAGCCCTGCTCTGGAGATGGCCGTCCCCCTCCCCAGCGCTGACCTTGTTCACAAGGACTCCACAGCTGGGGGTGAAGCAAGTGCCCGTGTCACTCAGCAACCACAGATGGCTCCGCAGCGTTTGCTGTAGGGGTCCAAACTGGCCTTAGGTTCGCATCCAAGAATTTCTGTGGGTCAGCCCCACTTCACTTTTCCGACCTTCTGTAACGTGACTTCTCTGTATAGCCCAACATATGAGAGATGATTGAAACAAAGTCCAGTGAATGTTCAAATTGAAAAAATATTAAGGTAACAGACACACTAAAATTAACCCCCCAAAACACTTCCCCTTGCTTCATACACGCATATCTATTTTTTTAGACAGGGTCTCCCTGTGTAGCCCAGGCTGGCCTCACACTCACCGCAACCCTCCTGCTGCAGCCTCCCGAGTGCCAGGATCACAGGTGTGCGCCCCACGCCGGCTCTCCTCCTCTTCTTGCTACTTTCGGAAGCACTTGTGAAGTCCTTTTTGCCTCTTCAGTTGTGCTGCCATGGCTGTGCCTCAGTGCCCGAACAGATTCAGAATGTTCACCCTTCAGTCACCTCGACACTAGGGACGAGCCGGAAGCTGCCCGATGCCAGGTCCAGCAGTAAAGCGTGTGGCAGGGGAGCCTGCCTTTCCGCTGGGTGGCAGTCGGTGCAGTGTGTGCTGCAGATCTGATCTCACCTTGTGAAGACACTCAGGCGCGAGGACTTCCAGAACCATGTCACAAAGCGGCAAGAGCGATGGGGTGAGTGTTTGAAGCACATGGGGTGGGGGGCTGGGGGTGTCTGAGGGCAACTGTGGCGGATGACAACCGGTGGTCAACTTGTAACGCCCAGCTGAACCGAACCAGCGAGGTGCCGGGGGTGGGGGCCCCACCTGAGGTCTGTTGCAACAGCATAAAAAGGAGAACTGGGGAGGAAGAGAAGCTGTAAGGCGCTGTTGGTTCTGGAGGAGCTTGTCCGCGGGCTTTCCCGGCACGAACTCGGCTGTTCTCATCATTTGAGGTGCTCAGGATCTGGTTGCTGAGAATGGCTTCGGTTCACTTTGGGGGAGCTCTGGCCCTCACTTTGAGCATCGCTTCCTGGCTCTGGAGGGGAAGATGGTGCACTGCTCATTCTCCTGGAGAAGCTTGCCATGCTGGCTTTCCTGATAGGAGCCCGGCTGTTCTCATGATTGGAGGAGCTCGGGATCCCGTTGTTGCTAAGGATGGCTGTAGTACTTTGCAGGGGAGCTCTGGTTTTTACTTCGAGCATCACTTCCTGGCTCCAGTGCAGATCCTTCAGCCTGCTAGTGCAGCTCCTTCATCCCACCGGCAGAGACTTCCTAGCTTCCACCACTGACCTTTGGGCCTTCCAGCGTAGATCCGTGAAACAGATTTTAATGGGATGTTGTGATGGGCTCTTGGTCTCAGGCTGGACTCATGGGGGCGTTGTGATGGGCTCTAGGTCTCCAGCTGGACTCATGCAGGACATTATCACGGGATCCCGGCTTGTGGCTGGATCTTTTTGGTCTTTAGTGTGTGGACAGATGTCCTGCATGTTGTATATGACTCTTTGCGTGTCTATTATAAAATAATCTTACTTCTTAATCTTAATTAAATAATCTTAATTCTTAAAATTATGTGTCTTGTATTGATTGTATTGTTTCCCTTGCAAACCTTGACTACAACAGCAATTAATAACAATGTCTTTCACTGGTAATACATTTTCAAAAAAATTACCACATTTTGATCACGTGTCTGGTGGTACTGCTCGGTTGGAATTCTGATTGCTACTGATACCCATGTAATTTTAGACAAGTCACCTAACCCTTCAGGGTCCCAGTTTCCTCATGTGGGAAGCAGGGAAGACAGCAGCACCCACACAGGCTGTGGCATGAACTTGAACAGGTGGGAGTGCAGGTACAGGAGAGGCTGATGTCTGCTCCAGTGTCACTTGGTGCTGGCTGCAGTGCTTTTTGTGTTAGGCCGCTCCCCACTATGAGGCCTTCCCTCATCATCCCTGGCATCAGTGATCCTTGGACTTCTGGAATTATCTAATGCAGCAGGTTCCTGGGCCCAGTTCCTAGAGACCGCATGCTGCCCCCGCTGCTTCCGGCATGGCCCATAGCCTGCAGCGATGGGGTCACATGTGGAGAAATGGGTCCTACTGGTCTACCTGCAAACCACTGACAGGGTTTTGGTTTTTCTGGCGTTTCTCAGGTGAGTCCTTGGAAGGCTACCATATAGTCCTTCCCTGCTCACAGTCTTGGTCCTATTCCATTTCCTGTCTTCTAGGTGCGGCTCACATTGGCCACTGATAAACACTTGTGAACTGGTAACGACCTGCTAGGAGTCAGTGTTCTCCATCTGCTGTCTGCCCGTTTGCTCCCCGCTGCTCCTGTCCCTGATGGCAGTGTGGGTAAGCTCAAAGGCGTGTGGCCTAGTGGATGGGCCTCACAACCCCTGTGTGCTCCCTCAGCCTTCCCCAAGGCCAGCTTCCAATAGCTCTGCAGGAAATGCAGACCACTGGCTTTTCTTGAGTTTTCCATTTAGAGAGGAAGTGAGAACACTTCTTTCAACCTGGGGTGCCCCAGCCACTGGGGAAGGCTTTGAAAATAGAGCCTCACCTGGTCGCTTCAGCTTGGATTCTGGGCACATGTGGATTCAAGGCAGCATTTGGGGAAATAACCAGGTCCCCAGATGACCTGATGACACCCTTGAGAATGAGCCATCGCTATCGCTGGGTAGTTCGAGGTTCCTACCCTGGGTGGTGCTTCAGCATGGGATGAGGGAAGAGCTATGGTTTCACCGTCCTGTGCCCTGCAGAGATTTGCACGTTGGAAGCTGGGCCCTAGCGTGGGGGTTTGGGGAAGTAGTGGAACCTTGAACAGGTGGGGCCCAGTGGGAAGGCCTGGAGCCGACTGAGCTGTGCCTCTTAGAGGTTAAAGTATCCCTTCCTGAGACCAGTTAGTTCACACTAGAGGGTTACCCTAAGATCCGCAACCTGGCCCCACCCAGCTCTACTCCATGGCTGACGATGTGCTCGCTCCCACCGGAGTTCCCAGCAGGACATGACTCTATGCACCTCCCTCACCAGCAGCTCAACCGTCTTCAACTTGCAATCTCCAAAACTGTGAGCTAAATAAACCTTTTTCCTTATGTAGCCTGCCTTGGGTATTTCATTACAGTAATGAAAAGCTGACTAATGCAGAGGGTCTGGGGTTTCTGAACCTATGGTGCCCTCCCCCAACCTAAATACCCTCTGGGCCCAGGGCCAGCCCTCTGAAGTCACCCCCTGGTTAAGGGATGCAGTGAACACAGTCCTGGAGCCTTCTACAGGGAGAGGGGGCAGATGCCAGTATAGTCCAGCGTTTTGGGGAGAAAACGAGTTCTCAGAGAAGTAGAGGAGGGCAGTGTCCTTCGTGGAAAGGCCCCCACACAGCAGGGGGCTGGAGGTCCTCTGGTTATAGGGGTCTCTTTCTTCAGACACCGAACGACTCTGTTGCTTCCAACACTGACATTGGCGCTGTGAACTCCGAGCCCTGCTGGAACTCTGCAGGCAGGGCGCAGCTGCCTCAAAGACAGAAATGTTCCATTTTGTTATTTTTAGAAGTTTCTTCAAAGTGTGAGAATAAGAAGGGAGCGAAAGCTTCTGTTTAATAGCAAATCCACCCCTGTGCCCAACTCTGCCCTGGGGGCCTCAAAGATTTCCTCAGGTTAAAAACAAACAGCCTGCTCTACTCCTTTCCAGAGTTACAATTTTCCTTTAATATAAATAAGGCAGCACGGCACAACAGCCCTTCAGAAGCAGCTGGGGCCTAACGGCTCTGCTCCCGTGGGCTGTAGAGCTGTCTGACCAGAAGGGCAGAGGTATCATTCTGATGAACGTCCCCTCGGAGCGAAGAGGAAACCTAGGGAGACGCCGAGGTCTCAGCTTCGGCAGGTTGGTTCTTGGTTGCTGGGTTTGCTTCAAATGCAGCAGGAGAAGGAAGGAGGGGGAGGGGCACAGGTGGCAATAAATAAGGAAATGTCCCCCAGAGGACCCGAGGGACAGTAGATGAGAGCCTGGGAGGGGCAGGCCATTCCTGCCACCAGGAGGCTTCCGCAGGACCGACACCCTGACCGCAGCCGGGCTCCCGCCTGACCCACCCCCGGCGGTGCACAGCCCATCTTCCGGGCCCTTCTGACGCAGGCGCGTGCCTGGCATAGGGGAGAAACTCCTTCCTTCAGGTCGAGCTGCTCTGCTGTCCCGGGGTACACAGCCTCACCCCTTGTTCTCCCTCCTCCCGCCCTGCGCAAGGGTCCCCAGGTGGTGCTCAGGGGAAACCCCAGAGGCCAGTGCAGCCCACGTGGAGAAGAGGCCTGGAGAGGAGCCTCAGGCTCTGGGCCTGCCGAGGTCTCAGCCCACGCTGGCTTCTTCAGGTCCAGGCCATCTGTGCAGTGGGCAAGGCCCAAGAGGAAGGGGAAGACCTGCAGTGAGCAGGTCCCTGAAAGTGAGGGATGGGTGCAGTGGCTTTGGACCAGCGAGCTGGTTTCCCAGCAGTTCTTGCTTCCAAGCCCGGCCTTCCCTCGGACAGGGACACTGACGACAGCTCAGGAATGGCAGTCGGTCCTCAGGTGTGGGCTCTACAACCTTTCTAGGACTGAGCTAGACTACAAGCTGAACCTGGGGTCTAGGTACATCCCCGCCCTGCCACCAGTGCCTCCTCCTCTAGATCGGCTTCCACCACCTGCCCACGCCCTCCTCCTATCACGTCGATGGCCAGGGTCCAGCTGTTGAGAGAAGAGAGAAGCATGGGAATGGCACCCAGCACAGGAACCACGGGGCAGGGGAAGGAAGGGTGCCCCTGAGAGGGGTGGCCAGCTTTATACCTCGGCCAGCCTGTACACATTAGCCACGCGGGGCCTCGAATCCACCGGGTCACCTCCCCAAACAGTATGAGAAAGTGACAGCCCCCACTGCTGTGCACCACGGGGTTGAGAGCTGTGAATTCCCACAACGGCCACTGTTTGTGCTTTGGCTGCCGACAGCTGGGGCCGAGGATTTCTGGGACTAGGCCGCTGGGTCTTAACGCAGGGTCCCCGGGAGCAGCATCTTTATAGATCTGAAGCACAGATTAGACCTGGGATGCAAAAGGATTACACCCAAATCAGTGTTCCTGTTCTCTCCAGCTCGGTGTCCACAGGGTGCTCTACCACTGTCATGGCCATGTGTGGTGACCCAAAAACGCTCTGTGAAGGACCAGGCCTCTAGCCCACGTCAGCTTCACCCACAGAGCCCACCACCAGGGAAGCCAGCCCACGTCCAGTGGGAGTCCCTCGCCTCTACCCTGCAGGCCCTGGCTTCCTGCAGGCTGAACCTCCACGCCTGTGTCTTCCCAGAAAGGAGCTGCAGAGCCCAGTGGGGCGGACGTGCAGGATGCCCTCCTTCCCGGCCTCAGATCCCACTGATCTAGGAGAGGACAGCTTTGGGGGGCGGGCTGGCATGGTCAGAGGGGACATGGAGGGAGTACTCTTGGATGAGGGTCGGGGCGTTCTTAAGCATCTCATAGAAGGAGTCCATCGTCTTCCGGTAGAGACTTCGCTGCAGGACAAAGGGCCGGAAGAGGTTGAGCGGCTCGGCCCCTCGCACCGCCTCGGGAAGCCCCATGGCCTCGGACACCTTGCGGTTGCCCACGAAGAAGTGAAGGAGCTTCTTCTCGAGCAGGCTCTTCTCCAGGAAGTGGAGCAGCTCGTGCAGGCGCACGTCCAGCTGCTCAGCCTTCCAGTCGGCAGGCTGCCGCAAGAGCAGGAGGTGCAGCAGGGCTGTCTTCAGGTGGTAGCGGCCCAGCCCACTGGGGCCCGTCAGGCGGCGCTGCTTGGAGAGCAGGAAGGAGGCGATCTGCAAGCAGCTGAGGTGGCAGGCGCCCTCTGGCAGCGCCTTGGTTGTCACCCTGAGGAAGTGCCGCTCATAGACAGCAAAGGACAGGAGCCAGTCGGTGCTGGAGGCTGGGCCGCCCCCAGCGGGCTCCCTGGAGAGGTGGGACACAAAGTACAGGTCTGAGTCTCCGCACTGGATCACAGGCATCAGGTTGAAGGGCATGCACTTCCCCGAGCGGAACTTGATCTTGAGGGACCCTGGCGAGTCCAGCTCACCAAAGGCCAGGTCAAACTCATACTTGCGGGCAATACGGTGCCAGGCTCGGGTGAGGGCCGTCTGGAACCACTTCATGACCTGCATGGCATCTAGGTACGGGGACTCTCGGGCACACAGCAGGTCCTCCACCTCACAGCTGGGTGGCGCCCCCGGGCTCCGGCCGTGGAGGAGACACAGCAGATCTTCCCCAAGCTTGGTCTTGTCGCAGGCACAGTCCGGCGCATCCCCCACAGCCAGGCCCACCTTGATCTGGCCGTAGCCCTGGCGGTCCAGGGGTGCAGGGTGGCTGCAGCACCAGAGCTCCGGGTGGAAGCAGTAGGGCTCGGGGGGCGTGAAGGGCACGAAGAGGCGGCACTGCAGCGGCCGGTCCGCCTGCCAGTTCTCGTACATGCTGTCCACGCCGATGAAGTCCTCCACCTCCATGTCCGTGTCCCGGTTGCAGAGGCTGCGCAGGGCTTCCAGCAGGTCATCCACGAAGCCTTCCACGAACTCCCTGGTACGGGCGGCATCAACTGTGGCAGCCCTAATGCAGCGGTCATAAAAGCGGCTGAGCGTGGCCTTATTGGGCAGGGCAAGGCCCCGCAGGGGGGCACCTCCAAGCCCGGGCAGCTCATCCTCATCCCCGCCCGGGCACTCAGGCAAGGGCGTATCTTGGTGGTCCTGCCGCCACACTTCGATGATGAGGAAGAGGATCATGCAGAGAGTGCTCCAGAGATCCCAGGCGGCATGGGCCTCCTGCTGCTGCTGCTGCTGCCCCTCTTCTGCCACCTGCTCCAGGGCCTCCTTGGCTGCCAGCTGGGCCACCTCCTCCTCCAGGCGAAGCTGTTCCAGCTGCAGCTTCTCCTGGTGGGCCTGCATCTTGCGGATGATCTCCTCCTCATCCTCGGGGACGGTGGTGTTCTCCCTCGGCAACAACAGGGGATGGTTGATGATGGCCGTCACCACCACCAGACACACCCGGAAGAGCGCCATGGTCACGGCCATAGCCTTCCTGCAACAGAGAGACTGCAGGTCACACCATACTCCCCTCAACTCTCCCTGAGCCCCTGCACCAGCCTCGGCCTGCGGAGCCTATGACTGTCTTGGTTTCTCCTACCTGGCCCCCAGCTGCCCCTACAACCACCTTGTGTCCAGGTCTGACCAGAGGAAGAACCCAAGGCCTACACCTGTGATGGGCACCTCAGGCGGTCTGCCAGGGCACTCCTCTTGCTGGTGGCAGGGCCCTGTGGGTCCTAGGGACTAACCCTTTCCTCCCCCATCCCTATGGCTCAGGTGTGGATAAACCTCACACCTAGCTCCAGGATGAGCGCGTAATGCAGGCTCCAGACAATCAGCGCGATCCACACAGGCACCCCCAGCTCCAGCCAGAGATTGGTGCTGTGACGAACATATGACCTAACCCGACCAACAAAAGGCAGACAGGACTCGCTGGGACCACAGGAGAGATGACGGGTGTACCCTGATGCTTGGGCTGCTGGGTGACAGGATTACACCACAGTGCTGGTGGTTCCCCAGCCGTTGGGGAGGAGGGCCTTCCTGAGGACAACTGCACAGAGGAATGCAGACCTTGGACCCAGCTGTGCAGGAAGCCATTATTTCTGGGCTTTAACAGCCACATGAGTCCATAAAGAAACTTTTTTTTTTTAAAAGCCAGTTACAGTTGTTTTTCTATCATGCAAAATCAAAATAGCCCTGGATAAACACGGTCTTCCGCCCCCAGTGAATGCCAGCGAGTAGCTGTGTCTTCCTTCAATGCGGTGAAGAACCAGGGGCTCCAAAGCTCGCCCTGACACCAAATAGCTGTGTGTTTGGGCATCTTAAACCCCTCTCAGAGACCAAGCTTCCTGACCCAAGAGGAAAGTGATGATGTCCTGTTTCCCTGGTAGGACATCACACTTCAAATGTGATTAATTGTGAGAGAACGTGCTCCATCCCCCCAGGACAAATGGCTCTTTAGGCCTCAAGTGCCTTGTGGAAGGGCTACCTTTACAGTTCAAATTGTGACTCGTGGGCCATGGGCTACAGCAGCTCCTGGGAACCTGTCAGAAACACAGAATCTCAGCTCAGCTCTAGACCTGCTCAATCAGAATCTGCATTTTACCACCACCCACAAAATACGGAAGTATGGTGTTACAGTACCGTATCCTCCCACTCCCTTCCACGGTTCTGCTGTCACAGGTTTCATCTACTCATAGCAAACTGTGGTCGGAAAATAGTAAACAGAAATTTCCAGAAATAAACAGTTTATGTTTTACGCTGCACTCATTCTGAGTAATGTGTTGAAATCTCATGCTGTCCCACTCTTTCCTGAACCATGCATTTCCCCGGAATGTCCACTTGGTACAGGCTGCCCTCCCATGAGTCCTCATCAGATTGACCATCACTGTACCACAGCACTTGTGGGCAAGTAACCCTGACTTTACTTAACAATGGCCCCACAGTGCAAGAGCACTAATGCTGGCAGTGTAGATCTGCCGAAATGCAGCGGTGAAGTACTTCCTCTCAGGGAAAAGATCAAAGTTCTGAACTTAAAGGAGCTCATAGGCTGTCTTGGTTACTTTTCTCTCATTGCTGAGACAAAATACTTGGCGCCCAAAATTAAGGAAGGAAAGGTTTATTTAGCTCACAGTCTGTGGAGGTTTCAGTCCATACTCGGCTGGCTCCGAGGCAGAGTGGCACATGGCAGAGGGCAACCCTTCATGGCAGCGGTATATAGCAAAAGCAGCAAGAGCAAAATGGAGCAGTAGTGGCAAGCAGCCTCTTTCTCTCCCTTACATATGCAAACTAACCGCTCCAGGGCAGTGTAGCACTCACAACCAGGAATCAAAACTCTAAAAGCCCACCCCGTGACTGCATGTGGCTTTGGGGAAGACACCCAGACACAAACCGTAACATAGGTCAAGGCTACGAAGATCTATAGTAGGGATGAATCTTCAGTCCCTGAAACTGTGATGAAGGAAAAAGAAATTCACACTGGTTTTGCTATCACACCTTAAATGGCTAAAGTTATGGCTGGCACGGTGTGTGATAAACAGAGGCTAAGATGGAAAAAACATTAAATTTGTATATGCATATAGGAAAAACACTATATGCAGGATGTAATACTATCTGTGGTTTCAAGCATGGGGTGGGTGGTCTTGGAAGTATTCCCCTCAGATAAGGGGACACTTCATATAAACCTACATTATACCTTCTCTTCCCCCTAGAACCTTGGGGATTTACAATCTACTTTTCCCACACTTGCCCTTCCTGCCTGGAACCTCAGTAAAAAGAGCAAATAACTTAATGCCAATCAGGGAGGTCTTGAAGATTGTTGTAGAACAACAAAGAGAACACAGAGGGCTTTCCCCAACGCCCACCCAACACTGGCCAAGAGGAGCTTCTGGTTAGCTTCATTCTCTTTGGTTTGAGCCCCCGACCCCTGATTCACAAGAGGAAATACTTGTCCTGATGGTGTCTAGGAGAGGGGATTTGTCAACAGTAAGGATGCTTCAGGAGGTTGTCCCCAGCACAGACAAGATGAGGGCTCCCTGAGCGGGCTTCCGGCCAGCTGCTTCTGGGATGTGACTCAGATGGCTCCACCCCACACACAGCTGGCCAAGCAGGATCTAGGAGGCAGGGGAGGGAGGCCCGGCTCCGGCGGAGTCCAAGTGGAGACAAGTTCAGGCTCAGAGGGGATGGAGTGCTGAAGCACTCCGGAGTTCACATGGGGCAGGAAGCAGTGACAGGAGAAAGCCGAGGAAGTCAGTCTGGGAGGGGCCTGAGGAACGCGCACAGGAATGGGCAGCCAGCCAGCCTGTGGTGCTCGAGCCAGAGAGCGGCGTGCTGGATAACTGCGGAAACAGGTGAGCCGTGGCTCACGGAAGGTCTTGCCACAGCCGTTCATGGCAAAACCACAAGGCCGGCTGATGAGCCCAGACCGACTTTAAAGGTGTGGAGCACCTACAGTAGAGTGTCACAGTTGGAAGGTTGGGAAGAGTCAGGTTCTTCAGGACCCTGTGCCACTGCAGTCACCTTCAGGTAGAACAAGCCTCGACCAAACACAGCGACAGCCTTGGCAAGTCACCACCCACGAGGGAGTTGGTTTCCATGCCAACTCGTGGGACAAAGCCACTGATGGAGGGAATGGTGCTACCTCCCAGCTCTGGACTTGGAGGTCCTACTCTTTTCTACCCAGCAGCTTGCATTATGCTACTGGCACCTCTACACGATTGCTGCTGGAGGTGGTGGGCTCTTGGGGCCTCCTCGTACCAGGGCAAACAAGGTCAGAACGCCGAACCAAGGAGCTAAGAGGATGGACTTGGAGGAGACAGACTAAGTTAGAGCCCAGCATGTGCGCCAGATGGATGTGACCTTGGACAATCATCCAAGCCCTCCGAACTTCAGCGTCTTCATCTCTCAAATGCGAAGAATAATACCTGCTGTTGTAAAGCTCGAACAACATAATGAATAGGAAGCTCTTAGTGAAACACTTGCCCCGGAGCGAGGTTTCTTATAAAAGGATTGCTGTGATGCAATGCGAATACACAGCTGACCCTACCTGCAGGGCACTGCCATAGGAGGCTCTGGCAGGACGCAGACAGCCCCTCTCCCTCCACTCTCAAAGGCAGGACTGCAAACACTTGCCAGAACACTGGGGAAACAGCGCAGTGAAGCGGAAGCACCTTGAACTTGGCCGTGTCCCCTGCCGCAGGCCGCAGGCCGCAGGCCGCAGGCCGCAGGCGAACGGCTCAGCCTCAGGACTCCCACGCTTCACCGTGAGAAAGGAGTCAGAAGAGCGCCTCCTCACAGGGAGGCAGGCAAGGCCAGATCGCGCATCCAGTGCCCCAGCAAAATACCTGGCACAGCGCAGGCACCCCAGAAGTACCCACTCCTCTCCCCCGGGCCTCCACAGTCCTGTTTTCCCACCAGCCCTGCCCATGTCCCAGGGCGTGGGGCATCACACACTCCAAAGTGCTCCGAAAGCACAAAACGCACCTCTGTTCTCACCGTTCCTTGGCACAGAGCCCCCCCCACCCTGCCCCGCAGCGAAGGGGCAGCCCTGAGAGCCTGGCACCCTCCTGCAGGTGGGGAGTTGCCGCTGACTCACCTCACTTAAACCACCGTCTCCTTCCCAGGGATTGTATTCCAGACGTCACTGGCTCCTTGCTCCACCCTGCCCTGGCTGGCTCTGAACGCAGCCCCTGTGACTGGGCAGGGGCCTCTGCTCCCTTCTCTTCCCAATCCCAACACAAGCCTGGAGGCCCGGCCGGGGTCAGAAGGCCGAGGCCTGATGTTCTGACATCTGGAGTCCTTGGGGCTGAGACAGGTAGCTGGGAGCCCCTCACAAGCCAGGGACACTCCTCATGTATACTCCTCGCAAATGCGTGTGTGTAAACACTGCCTCCCCAGGGGCCCATGCCCCCCTTCCAAGGATGCCTCCCACGGCCGCACCCCAAAGATGGCATCTACAAGAGGCTGTCCCACACCACGCCCTGTGACCCTGGCTGGTGAATTCAGCTCTGAGAATAACCTGGGTCATCTGGCGGGCTTTCGTCCGCCTGGCAGGAAGTTGACAGGAAGCCCCTGGATTCCTCTCCACCCCCGCTCACCCACAGAGAGGGTGGCTCCAGTCGTTCACAGCTAAACTTCGTCTGGCAAAGGGCCAGGTCACAGTGTGGCAGGGGCTGGGGGAGACGGTGGCCTCTGAGTGCCGGGCCAGAAGGCCGTAGGTGGTGGCCTGTGCCTAACCAGCCAACACCGAGGCTGGCCGGAAACCCAGGACTCCAGAGGAGAAAACCCAGGTAGCTCTTTACTGGGTCCCCAGAGGACTCCCCACAACAGCTTCACCCAACAGATACCACTAAGAGCTGCTTAGCAGCCATAACTTCCACGGCTGAAGTCCTCCCAAGGACATGCTGGTGTTCCCACAACGAGCACCATCACCTTCCAAGAAGGGGGCGCAGTCCGTTTCACAGATGAGCTAACGAACACCCAGGGAACAGGGCCATT